AAATAGGTATAACACGGACTAACTTTATCTTTATAAACATGATTTTAAACGTAGATATTAAGTAATGATTTTAAACGTAGATATTAAATAATGATTTTAAAAATAAAACAAAATTATTTATAAAACTAACTTTATTTTTAAATATAAAATTTATGGATTAAAGTAAGAATATTATCTGTTTTATATAATTCTTTAAATATTTTAAAAATTTAAACATGATTTTAAAAGTAAATATCAACTAATGATTTTAAAAATTAAAACAAAATTATTTATAAAACTAACTTTGGTTTTAAATATAAAATTTATGGATTAAAATAAGAATATTATCTATTTTATATAATTATTTAAATATTTTAAAATTTTAAACATGATTTTAAACATAAATATCAACTAATGATTTTAAAAACTAAAACAATATTATTTATAAAACTAGTTTTATTTTTAAATATAAAATTTAGGGTTCAAACAAGAACATAATCAATTGTGAAGAATGTGTGAAATCGAAGAGGGAAGATCAAGAGATACAAGTTTACTATAGCGAGGTAACATAATTTAGTATTTTTAGTTATTTATTCATAATTTTACATGTTTTGATTCTAAGTTTTTCATTGATTCTTCAATATATTTAAGTTTTGAAAAATTAATAATAAATATTTTTTTATTTTTAGTTATGGGGTTAGATAAAAGTTGGATGCATATGCTTGATAGGACACAACTTTTGTATGAAAAAGGAGTTCTTGAATTTATTGAATTTGCATTTACCGGGTTTGATGAAGATCAGTTACTTCGTTGTCCGTGCAAAAGATGTAACAATAACCTATTTCGGACTAAAAGAATCATATATGAGCACTTAATCACAATTGGGATAAGAAGAGATTATGTTATATGGGATCTTCATGGAGAAGTAGTGAAGGAACATCATAGAGATGGTGATAAACAAAATTATAATGAGGAGATTCATAATATGTTACATGATCTTGGAAGTGCTTTTAATGTTGAAGGTAACATAGAAAATAAAGAAGCAAGTGATACAAGTCCAAAGAGTAAGAAGATGAATGAAAAAGCGTCAAAGTTCTATAAATTATTAGAGGATGTTGAGGAGGAACTATATCCTGGTTGTGAAAATTTCTCAAAGTTATCATTTATTGTTCAATTATTAAATATCAAATGTCTATTTGGTTTGAGTGCAAAAGCAATTGATGTCTTACTTGCTTTATTAGTAAAAGCTTTTCCACAAGAGAATAAAGTTCTTAGGTCTTATTCTGACGCTCGAAATTTATTAGTAAAAGCTTATTCAATTATAATAATAATTTTTAATTTATTATCATTTTAAAATAATAATTAATATATATATATATATATGAATTATACTAATAATTTTTAATTTAATCATTAATGTGTTAATAATATTTGTGATAAATATATTATTATTTTTACTTTTAATAAGATTACAGTGATAATTTTAAATTTAGTCACTAGTATAATTGTGATAAATTAAAAATTTGTTACAAATAATATATATATTGTGACAAATATGTTGTTATTGTTACTTTTAACAAAATTATAGTGACAATTTTTAATTTGGTCACTAATATAATAGTATTTATGGTAAATTAAAAAATTGTTACAAATAATATATATAGTGACAAATTTTATATTTGTCACTAAAATTTTGTCACTAAAAGTTATATTTCTTGTAGTGATTACATATATTCCACATGAATATTCACACATTTTTTAAGAAATACTAAATTTTGAAACTTTCTTCTCCTAACTAAAAGTTATTTAAAATGTCAAAGTGAAACTTATCATTAAAGAAAAGATTGAGTGACATCTTGAGAAATTTTATGTCTTATGTGTCACGAAAAAAACTAATTAAAAAGTGATGTAATATTTTAAAATAAAATGTTACACACTAAAGATGTTCTTACAAATTATATTTTTGAAAAAAATAATGAAATTACTTTAAATTTTTTTATTTCAATATAAAAATTTAGAAAATTATCAATTCATTATGATTAATTTGAGAAAAAAAAATTTCACTCTAAAATTAGTGATCGATGCTATTCAGGTTTTATTATTCTGTCGACATAGATGAGTTTGCCTAATTAGCTTTAACTGCATGTAGAATTAATAAAGGTAAATCATTGACTAACCCATTTCCATATTGTTAATGATTTTTTAATATAAAAGTTGATGATGTAAGTAATCACTCATCCTTTTAAGGTCTACCAAAGTATTTGGAGTCCATATATTCTGCCGCTGTAAGTTTTAACGTTAGTATAAAAATAATATTTTATAATAGTAATTTATCCATCATAGTATATTGGAAAGGTAATTTTATAATTAAAATCATTTTTTATAATTTTTATGTTGATTTAAAGAACCTTCTTAATAAATAGATTTTATGATGATTTAATCTTGAATCGTTATAATAAGATATTTGTATATAATTTAGATAATTTTTATATTGATTTAATTCTGAATTATTATAATAATATTATTATGATGGTTTATCTTTGAATTATTATAGAAAGTAATTTTATTAATTTTAAATGAGACATTTTTTATGTCAGTTAAAATTGAACCATCGATACGGTTTAATTTGAACGGTTATAAAAGGTATTAAGATTTAAATATTCAATTTCGTGTTATCCTCTTCATCTTTTTCATTTTCTATTTTTTTCTTGTACCAATAACTCTATTAAATTTTTTCTTTTTTTGTTTCATTGTTTCCTTGTCATATTCATTTAGTTTTATTTTTCTCATGCTTGATCCACCACTTCTCACAATTTTACTTCTTTCTCATTTACAATAAATGTAAAATATGAGAGCATTATCTCATTCTTCTATATTAGTTTATATTTCTTGATTTAGTTTAATGGAGTTATATAATATGTTATATTATAATTATTATTATAAAAAAAATTTCAATGAATAATTTGTCATCTAGTTTAAGTTAATATATTTATATTTTATGTTTAATTGTGTTTTCGTATATAAATAATATTTGTATTTAATTTTTGAAATTAAATAAAAAATATCTATAAGAATTATATAAAAAATATTTAACACAAAATATTTTATGACGATTATATTAAGAATCGAAATAATAAATACTTATTATATTGGTTATTTAATAATTAATATAAAAAATTATATTTTTTATGTTATTGGATCTATGTTAATTTTATAATCAACATGAAAAAATTAAAATAACCGTCACAAAAAAAAAATTTCATTCAATTGACAACCAACAATATTTAGTTTAATTAGATAAAAGAAAAGAAAAGTTAATGAATTTCACCAAACTACATTGTACCACGAACAAAAACCTGGAACATAATTTTTTTCAAGAAACATCTCAAGTATCATTTGGATGGGGTGTCTTAAGGCCATTTAAAGAGCGAAGAGTTTGGAATATGTTTCTACCATATGGAGAAAAATTTTCATATATTTAAGAAAATATTTTGTCAAATTTTATGCTTGACACGTTTAAGAATAGGATGTGATAGAAATTGCATTAGATCAAGCACTTTCTACAACACAGAAATAAACACACTAGAGTCACCTTTTGTCTTGTTTTCTAAGTTCACATTTCGTCCCTGAAAATTTTTGTTGCTGAATGGTTCTGGAGTATTTTTAAAAATTTCTTTCTCTAGGTGCTTCAAATGTTTAAATTTTGTATCACTAAAAATATAATGCCAGGAGAGTGTATAAAATACAAAATAAAGATAAATCAGGGACCAAAAGACAAGCGGTTTTTTATTAGAGATGAAAAAATTAAAACATATTTAAACATTTTTTTTATACATTATTGACGTACTCCTGTACTATGAGTTATTAAAAATGGCAAACATTTTTTTATCTCATGGTTCCTTTCTATCCGTTCATTGTTCATTCGTTTTTAGTGAGCGAAATATATGGGCCATGCATGAGTTAAAAGGTTGGCGACTCACGAGTCCGGTAGGAGAAACTGTTTGATATTTGTGGTGCTTGGGTAAAGACCAATTAAAAGTAATTTATATTGAGTCTTATGCTAATGATCTAACTATATATGGATTTAAAATTTATTTTGAATGGAAATTACTTTGAACTTTTGTCTTGAATACAAAAATATATATATATATATATATATATATATATATATATTTAGTTTTACTTCTAATTTATTTTTAGAATACGAATGTTAAAATATGCTCAAAATAATTTTGAAAATAAAGAAAAAATTCCTCAATATAAGGATGCCGGGTTTTTTAATCTAATCTATTTTACTTGTGAAGTAAACAGGTTTTGCTTTGGTCTTTGGAGTCTATGGGTTAACTTTTGAAGATTTTATTTGTATTTTTCTTTTTTTAGATAAAACACTTTGAAAATTAGCCTCCACTTTCCTTTTGTAATTTTTCATCTTGGTGATTTTGCACTTCATCATCACATGATCTTAAAAATACTTCCAATGTAACAAACCATAACAACATAGTCAATTTACGAGACTTGAATCTCGTACATAGAAAGTTTTGGGTTCAACTTGGATTAACTTTCGATTTTTGTTTTATATATATATATATATATATATATATATATATATATATATATATATATATATTATTTAATCATGGACCGATCCATAAGCTTGGGTATTTTCAGACTCAAAATGATGTACAATATTCTACAGATAAAGAAAAGGACAAACTTACGTGTTCTGATTGGACAAAAATGACCAAATAGGTTTGAAACCAATATTTAACAACCAAGAATTGAGTTAAGGTTATTACGAGGTGGTTATTTGAGATCTAATAATTAACCAAAGTGGTTATTTTAAAAACAAAAAAAGTAATAGTTGAGAAAAACACCTTACCAGCCAATAGCCGCGCCACCACAAAAATTCAGTCAGAGGACCTGTCATAATTTAAATAACAAACATTATTGTCAAAGAATTGAAAGAACAATCAATATTACATCAACGTCGTCAGAGAAGGGGTTGGTGAGGCTCTTCAAGCATGGCTCCCTGTCCCGGCGCCGCCAACCTATGCTGCCTCCTCTTCCGCGACGAACCCAACCCACCAGAGACCCTCGGAGTCCTCGCCTTCGACGCTGCCAAGACCATGTGCCGCCTCCTCTCCCTCTACAACTCCCTCTCCCACCAAGAAATCATACGCCTTCGCCGCCACGTCATTAGGTCCAAATCCGTTTCTCTTCTCAACTCCCGCGATGAGTGCTTCCTCCTCACCCTCGCCTGCGCCGAGCGCCTCGAGGACCTCAATCTTGCAGCGGCCACCGTCTCCCGCCTCGCCGCCCGCTGCACAGACCAAAACCTGGCGCGTTTCGATGCCCTAGATGCCAGCAAGATTGAGTTCGGAACCCGCGACGTCGAGAAGAAGATCGAGAGCATGGAGAAGCTCGTGTTCGCCACGAGGAGCCTCCACAAGGCCATGGAGTCCCTCACGGAGATGGAAGCGTCGGAGCAAAAAATTCAACGGTGGCGAACCATTAGGGAAAACCACGGCCTCAAGGTCAAGGTCGAATGCTTCAGCGAAAGAATTATGTTTTATCGGAGACAGGTTATATATTTCAAACAAGTCTCCCTTTGGGGCCAGACATTCGACAAGGTTGTCGGCCTCATGACGAGGATTGTATGCATTGTCTACAATAGAATATGTTCTGTTTTCAAAATCTTCATCACCGGTAATGTTGCCAGATGTATCAACCAGAAGAAGAAGAAGAACAACAACAATAATCATAACAATAACAATAACAATAACGATAACAATAACGGCAAAAAGGTTGCTAGATCACCGGAGAATTGTTGTTGCCGCATTGAGCATCGCGATTTGTATATGTTGAACGTTTGTTTGTTCGACCAAACTGAGGAAGAGATGTCCAGGCGGAAGCGTGCCTGGGGTTGTTGTTACGTGAAGAAGAGTTCTACCACAGGGGTTTTCCGGTTCCGCAACGCGCCACCGCAGGCAATCAGCCAGGTGGCGCGGAACAACCGCGTAATGCGTCTGGCGCCGCCCTCGACGGTCGGCGGGGCGGGGCTCTCGCTGCGGTACGCAAACTTGATCATGCTGGCTGAACGGTGCTTGCACGCGCCCAATGCGACAATTGGGGACGACGCGCGCGCTGCGTTGTATGAGATGTTGCCTGGGAGGTTGGAGGTGAAGTTGAGGACGAAATTGAGAGGAGAGTGGTTGGAATGGAGGAAATCGGAGGGTGACGGAGAGGGGCAGTCGGAAGCGGTTAGACGGTGGCAGGAGGAGTCGGCGGAGGTGCTGGAATGGTTGGTGCCGGTGGCGCATGACATGTTGAGGTGGCAGGCGGAGAGGAACTTGGAGAAGCAAAAGTTTGAGACGAGGCCAACGGTGTTGTTGTTGCAAACCCTGCACTATTCGGATTTGGAGAAGGTGGAGGAGGCCATTGTGACGGTGTTGGTGGGGTTGAGTTATATGTATTGGTACAGGAATTTGTGAAGGATTTTGCGTTTTTCATTTCAAATTTCATCTCATTCTTTTTTAATTTCTAGTTCTTTTACAATAGCAATGTGATGATTGATGCCTACGAGTTTCCCATTTGCATGTAGAACGTGAAATTATATTTGTCTCTAGAATTGTGTGTAGATATATCTTGAGCTTCTGTCGGTAGAGATAACGAAAGTCTTCACATGAAATATATATATATATATATATATATATATATATATGTACCTGATGTGGCATGAATGCACAGTGCCTACATTATTTCAAGCCCTTGAGTTGAGCTGGTCGAAGGAACAATGCTATATGTTGTGGAAGGGTGACTCTTGTAACTCTTATTGTTAGCAGAAATTAATAAAACTATCTCCAAGTTTTACTATATAATGCATTGTGTTTTACATTTTACACATTTTGAATCAACTCCTCTCTTCTTCAAACTCATGAATCCTCTCTCTCGCATTTCATTTCATTTCATTTTATACCTTTCTAAATCGCTCATGCTCATTTCCTTGTATATATTCTTTGTTTAATTAGTAACTCATAATTCTCATTTCACTCTAAATACCTACTCATATAAATCACAATATTTATTAAGGTCCTTGCTGACAGCATCATTAAAATACTGGGTAAGAAAAAGAGATTGATTCTCCTTTTTATGAGCTATTTTATCCTTTTTACCCAATCTTTGTCTCTTTTAATTTTCTTTGAATACCCAATGGCCCAAATTTCACCACTTATGTTTTCATCCGACCCAACAAGTATCATTAAGATTAAGATTGGGTCCACTTCTCGATGAACCCCCATATATTTGGGCCCCATATAACGCTACTCTATCTCAGCCCAACATTATTATCTCAAGATTTTTCTTCTAATGTATGCTCATATCAGCCATATGTTCCATATTCCTTCGATACACCAATGATTACAATATTAAGGGTGTTACAAAGTTAATTTTTTTTTTTTTTAATTACATCACTTTATACAATGATTCAGTTCAAATTGTTTTCATAAAAGTGGATCAGGTTGATTTTTTCCAAAACCATTTGGTCATTTTTTATTTATTTGACTGCTTCAATTTAGTTATCCGCTTCACACCTATATAAGATTAAATTTTTCAAAGAATCGAATAAAATATTCAATTAACCGAAATATTTTTACAAAATGATAATCGAACTATTTTTGTAAACAATTTCAGTCATTTATTTTTAAAATAATTTGACTTTTATAATTCAATCTATTTATTTTTGTATGGTCCATTTCAGTTTCGCAGTCTTTTCCTCTTCCTATCAATATCACCATTAATAATATTAGAAATTTATGATGAATAAAAAGATAACGTCACCCTCCATATCAATCACTGAGTTTATTAATGGCGTCTAGTCAAAATTATGTAAAGAACTACAATGAACAATTGTCATTGAGTTTTGCTAAATTATCATCATTTCCAGGAAGAGGCGAATTTGATAAGGTTTATACGCTGGTTTTGTTACTTTGCTTCTTTATGCTGAGATTTTATTTAAATATTTGTTTATATTTGGCATGGGGTTCTAATTTTTAGGATTGAGATTGGTTATTCCGTGGTAGTAGACAAATTTTTTTGTAAATAATTAGATTCTTTATGAGTTGGAACTTCTTCCTTTCTTAATTAGAACTAAGAATATCTGTCTATATGTGGGAACAAGATTCTTAATTAATGAAGAAATTAAATATATTTTCATCCTTCTACAGTTTGAAAAAATATTCCTAACTAAAAATGATTTTTCATATATCAATTCGTATCAAACATTTTAAACAAAATATTAGGTTGGAGTTTCCGAATGAAAAAACGTGATTAGGATTTCTCCTACATCGTGAGACCAGCCAAAAATTTCAGAATAAATTAACCAAAAGGTGCAACTGATTATTATTATATTAATATAATAATAATAAAAAAATGTTTTAACTTTCTTTGCTAACTGGTCTTTTCAATTATTGCATCACTACATCACTAAAATGGGGTCAAAGAGGTTCATTGGATCTCTTATTAAGAACTTATGTTGTGTCAAATTTTGAATATTCAAATTTCAGAAAAGACTAAAACTGATGTGAATATCCATTATCGTGTGATGTTTCAGCGTATCTTGTGGCACATGTGGTTGTGGAGCATTGTAGTGGATTGTGTGAGCAATCGTATCTTCTATGTTCAACTCTATTTCTTCGTTATTTTGAAAACAAATTGCTTGTCAAATACGTTATATATTTTAATATGCCATTTTATGAAGCGATACAGGAAGACTTTAAGCTTCCAATACCAAGTTGTCTTTTGTTTATTTCTTTATTATCATTTACTCGTCTTCTTTCTATTTTGCTTCAATTAGCACTTACTCATATCATTAATTAATATATAGGTCTATTTTCTCAAGTTTATGACACGCATAACTTATTATCTTTTGGGTACACGTAATATCTATTTAAATACCCTTTGGATGGTTAAGTTCATTCCAAGAATCAACCTTCAGTATCATGTATCGACAAGACAAGAAGAAGCTAACGATGAACATCCTAATAAACATGTCCATGTACAGAGTGTTTTCCATTGGATTTTGCACATACAGTTGTCATTTTGCTTTTGCTTTGAAGTTATCCATATTTTGGCGTCTTTAGGGTTCATAATCATAAAAAATAAACAGGGTTAATATTTGGTTCATCAAGGGCTTTAGATACGAAAGTTTACATACGAGTTTGTTTGAACTCATATTTTAAAATAATATTTTTAATAAAATGAATAGATTTTTGTTTTTTATTTTTATTTTTACTTTTATTTTCAAAATAGCAGTCTTGCTTTTATTTTGAATTATATATATGAATATTGAGACCCGTATTATACGCTCAGTATATTTGTGAACAAAACAGTGGGATTATGATTAATATATATTCCAGATTCCCCGACAAGAAAGACCTAAACTAGGGCACAATTCCTATGTAACAGCAATTTCATCCTATATAACACATCCAATTACGTCAATTTGTCAAAAGAATAGGGTCATTTTTCTAATTATATATTATTTTTCTCTGAAATCTGATTTAACTTGTCTAGTTTATTCATCATCCCATCATTCCAGCTTCATCATAAAAACATCGAGAGATGTAAAATATGAATTAATAAAAAATGAAAATAGTGCCTTGGGTGTTGTTCAATTGTTTCACTATTGTTAAATGATTTTTATGAAAGAAGGGCTAATGTAGGGCATAGAATTGGGTTTAAGTTTTGATTATAACAACAACTTTACTTTTCACATTTTACATATATTATGTTTGTAATTAAATAAAAAAATAACTATCAAGTTTATGTATAACCAATATGAAATCCTCATTATCTTTAATCCACATATTATCTTTAAATATAAATTTTAAATGTATATTTTGAATTATGTATTATTTATACGGATGGAAGAATTAATAGTTACTAATATAAAAATAATATTTTATGATAATTTATAATGAGTTGGACATTGATAATTTTATAATTTAAATTTAAACTAACATAAAAAAATATTTTTTATATTAGTTTTAAATTAAATTGTCATAACAAGTTATTTATAAATTTGAACATTTTTTATATAAGTTCAATATTGAACTTTTATAATAAATATTTATTGTGACAATTCAATTTCAAACTGACATAAAAATTGATTTTATCAGTTTTAAATAAATCATTATATAGGTATAAAATTAAATTATCATAATAAATACTTATTATAACGATTCAAAATTAAATTGAAATTAAAATATTTATCATGATGATTCAAAATTGAACCATTATAAAAAGTTCTAAATTAAAATTTTTATAATTTTTTTTTATTTTTGTTTTTCTCATGCGTGTACCAGCACTTTCTGCCATCTTACTTCTTCCTCATTTATAACAAATATATATATATATATATATATATATATATATATATATATATATATGTGAAAGCATTATCACATTTTTCTTTATTAGTTTGAATTTCATTATTCTAATATATATTTGATTGTAATTGTTATTATGAATTTTTTCTTTTCAAAATAATTTTTCATCAAATTTAAGTAAAATTATCTACATTTTATGTTTAATTGTATATAGATATTAATGTTTGTGTTTAATTTTTAAATTTTATTATTGTATTGAAACTATTTGATAAAATATTTATAAAAAATATAATTATATAAAAAAAATTATCCGAGACCTTTTATAACGATTATGTTAAGTATCAATACTTATTATGTCAATTATTAAATAATTAACATAGAAAGTAAGTTATATTTTGTATGTGGCCTGAAGTTATGCTTGTTTACAATCAACATAAAGAGTATAAAATAACTGTTATAAATTAGAGCGGATTTAAGACCATGGAGAAAGCTTGATGAAGTGAAAAGATGAAACGAGAAAGATAGTTCACCTCGCGTTACACAATTATCCCTGTCAGCAATTGAATAAAAATACACCATGAGTAAGGAAAGATATTCAAAAACTTCTTATTTTATACGTTGGCAAAATACAAACCAATTTCAGTCTATGGGTTGCTCTATCCTGTTTGTTCGCTATAAAACTCAATCTTAAGCTCTAATGGTTGTGACCTATATGTTTCATAGGCTTGACACTGTGTGACCCTCGACTGAGTTCTATTGACAATGCAAAATTTTCAATGAATGAGATATGAAGAGGTTTGAGGGAAGAAAGAAATGGTTTGATGCTATGTTGAATATTGCAAGTTGAGAAAGCGTATTGCGAGAACATGATTCTCACCAAAAGATAATTTATTCATTTCTAATTTTTTTTTATTAAAATATTTCTTTTATTATTCACATCGATCAAATCACTTACAATCTTCTATAAACTTTTTTTTTCATTTTCTTATATTTTTATTATTTTTCTCTCAATTAAAACAATCAAAACTTCATTTTTTTATCTTCTTTTTTTATTTTTTTCACTGCTCGAATCCATCTATAATTCAAACTTAAAAATGTTATATATT